CTAGTTCCAGTCAGATGCAGAGGTGCCGAGACAAAAGATGACCTTGGGCTTCTAGAAAAGAATGGCAACAACACATTCCACAATTCTACTCCTTTCTGTTCCCCCCTCCCAACTACTTCACTAATGAAAAAGCACAGTGAAATAAAAGAGTGTGTGGCAGGCCAAAGATCCTAAAAGGGATATAATTGCAGACCTGACACTGAGCTTGTCGATCAGAAAGGTTGGTAGTTTGGTGGTTTAAATCCCTAGCACCGTGTAATGGAGGGAGCTCCCGTTTACTTGTCTCAGCTTCTGCCAACCTAGAAGTTTGAAAGTATGTAAAAATGCAAGTAGAAAAATAGGAACCACCTTTGGTGAGATGGTAATAGTGTTCCGTTCACCTTTGGTATTTAGTCATGCCGGCCACATAACCACGGAGATGTTTTCGGACAGCACTGGCTCTTCAGCTTTGAAACAGAGATGAGCACTGCCCCCTAGAGTTGGGAACAACTAGCACATATGTGCGAGGGGAACCTTTACTGTTACCTATCCTGATGAAAACTTGCTTATGTATATATTATATTTACAATAAAAAATACTTTGAAGTTGGTTTTTAAAACAATATATTCTTCTAAATTCTGAATATTGAGTTTTTAAAATGGTCTATTTCAGAAGGTATAATTTGTCTAATTATTAAATATATGTAAATCAGCTAAACCTAACAAGATTTAAGTTGCATTTGTAAATCTAAAAACTTATGAAAATGCACAAAGTCTATTAAATCTCACATTTCCTGTGTTGTTTTACACTGCCCTCTTACATGCATATATTTATCTTAGAATTTTGCATTTTATGTAGTGAAACCTATTCGGAATCTGAATGGGCACTCCATTGGGCCATACAGGATACACGCAGGCAAAACTGTTCCCATTGTGAAAGGAGGAGAAGCAACAAGAATGGAAGTAAGTATAGATACAGTCTGATCCTATACATGCTTACTTGGAGGTCCCATTGATTTCAATATTTTTAACTTCCACTAATGTTTTGACCAGCAGGGATTTTGTAAAAATGTCACGGATGCGATTACAAAACACTGCTATTGGAATGTAAACTGGGTGCCAAGTGGTGCAATCAGTCATAAGACCCATAGTGCAGAAAAGCAAATTAAGGAAACCAAATATGGATGGACTGGGTTGAAAAAAAATTCTGGTCAGTGGGATGTCAAAAAAATTAATTATGTTCTTGTTCCACTGATCTTTTGTTATCTGTACAATAACAGCTCTTTAAAAAGAATTCCAAATTAATTATTCATATGATTAAATGTTGTTGCTCATCAAAATTAACAGTNTTTCTGTTATAATTTTGCATCAGTGAGGTTAAAACCAATTTCGTTGTATTTAAGTACAATGACAATAAAGATTATACTTAAAGTTATACTTATATAAATAAAAGAAATTATGATTGTGTATGTTCTAGTGCACAATATCAGCAGTATTTGTGATAAAACATTGCCATAACTTTATCATCAAATTAATCTTCTGGAAGAAAATAACTCTGAATGTCTAAATGTTATTTTCTTAGGACATTTTCAGTATTTAATATTTTATCTGATTTGTGTAGATGGTGAAGGAGACGGTGATAGTGCAGCAGGAAAGAAAAAGAAGAAAAAAAAGAAAAAGAAAGGACGTAGGTGTTGGTTAAACATTGACCATAATTTTGTTTGTCTTATTTCCATGTAATGTTTGTGAAATACTTCTTTATTCTGAATAAAAGCAATGGTTCATTGTTTAGTTGGCTGCCATATAGCATTGGCAAACTCTTGAGCAACATTCTTAAGTATTGGATTTGCCCTTGTTGATCGATGAAAGAATGCTGATCTTCCATTTTAATTAAAATGTAGTATCAACACAATATAATATCTTGATTTCATCTTCTATGGATGCTTGCACAAATTTGGATTCTGAGATTAAACATACTATATCAGGTACTTAATTATTTCTTTAAAATTTTCCTAGTAGCAGTAAATCTGTTGTGTCGATATCTGTGACACAAGGCATTTAATAGATGCTTTAAAATATTTATAAAATAATATATGTACAAACAGAAAATGACTACAGGTAATCCTTACTTAGTGACCATTTAAATTGTGGTATGATGGTGGTATAATGGTACTTAAAGGGGGGATTTATAATTGTTTCTCATTGCTGTAGCTGATGCAGCATCCTGTGGTCACTTGATAACAGTTATGATTTCACTTAATGATGTCTCAAAGATGCTTTTTCAAAAGGCAACTGGACTTTCTTTAGTTTGCTTGAAGACATTTTACTTCTCATCCAAGAAACCTCTTCAGTTCTGACTAAATGGTGGAGAATGGAAGGATTTATATTCCTTGCAGAAATCTTTCCATTCTCCACTATCCAGTTAGAACTGGACAAGTGAAATGTCTTCAAGCAAAATAAAGAAAGTCCAGTTGTATTTTGAAAATGCACTTTTGGGACAACCATGACCTGGATAACTGAGAATCTCTATAGACATTCACTTAAGTGATGGAGTTTCTTCTCCAAATTACTGTTATTAACTGAGTTCTACCTATATAGCATTATACAGCATGCAAGTATTTTGTGGAGGAGCGTTCTCCATTAATAATCCTTATACAGATAACCCAGTTTTTCTCTGTGAAATACAAATTTCACAGAGTAAGTAAGATTAAAGGCACTAAAAGCTAAAGAGCTTTAGTGTCTCTGTGTGTGCATACATAAATACCCAGATATTCACAATTATTTTATTCTTAACAAAATAGGCTTAATTCTTTATGTGTAGTGTAGATTCTTTCCTAGAGGCATGTGAAATATATGTTGATATCATTTTAAAGAAAGTCACATGGTATCGATAAGACCAGTTTATCTAAAACTGACCAATAAAAGCACTGGGGGAATTCTGAAAATTGTTTAATATATATTCTGTTTTTGTCTGAAACTCAGACAATAAGCAAGGATTATTTTAAAAAGAAATATCTCTTGACAATATTTTTTTTATTCTAAGACGGGCTCAAGGTCTCTTTTTCCAACAGCAAAGGTGCAGACAGATCCCCCATCTATTCCAATATGTGACTTGTTTCCTAGTGGAATATTTCCAAAAGGAGAGGAATGCGAATATCCAGCAACGCAAGATGGGTATGTGTCTTAATTTGTCTTTTTCAATTTAGGGTTCAAGACACTAATAATGTAATTGATAGGATATTACTTTTGAAGACTCATCTACACTTCAAATATTTTATTTTGCATGTTATAATATAGCTGGGCAACGAATATGTTTAGCATGCATTTGTGTGATTTATAAAATATCAGCAAGTTTCTAATAATGGCAGCAGCAGCTATGTATGTATGTGTATGCGTGTATTTATGTATCACATTTGGCCTCAGAAGCAGTATATAACCAAAGAAAACCCATCTACAGGGCCTTAGGTTTTGCACTACCCCAAACATTGGGAAAATAGCCAGATCTTTAATAGTGTCCTGAGCATCCTGAGAAAATGGAATATAGCCATTGCAGGGTAAAGCTGGTTATTAAGGGTAATGTGTACTGGTACCCAAATCCTTTTTTTAAAGTCTCAGCAGATAATTTGCCAGAGCTATATAGCTGATTATTACATTCTCAAAGTCAAGAATTGGTAGACTCTGTATTATTCATAGAATACTTAAAATTCTTCATTTATACAAGTAAAATTTCCAAGATTTGATTCCAATATTTTTTCTTGTATTTTCTTGTAAACAGCATTCACATACTATGCAAAGCAGTTTGTTCGATTATACATAGCTTGTTTTATGAGTCCAAGAACTGTAAACACATGGCTGGGTCTATGTGAATGTAGCCTAGTCATGATGTAGTTAATAAACCATGATTCAGTATGTTCTATAAACCCAGTCATAATGTGAATGCAGTATTTTGATGTTTAAAGAGATACTTGATAGCTTAAAGAATTAATTGGCAATTTTTGTAGAATCATGGCAAAAAAACTATCAATGTCAATATTGAGTTGGATGAAAATATTTTGAAAAGTTACATATTTTAGTAGACTCCACTACCACCATCTGCACCCTTCCAACTCCAAATTGAAATTCATCTTATACTTGGTTTGGATTTCACATTATGGTGACAAATATCTGACTTTTCTTTTCAATGTTAAAGGAGAACGGCTGCTTGGAGGACTACAAGTGATGAAAAGAGAGCACTAGATCAAGCGAATGAAGAGATCTGGAATGACTTCAGAGAGGCTGCTGAAGCACATAGACAAGTGAGGAAATATGTTATGAGCTGGATCAAGCCTGGAATGACCATGATTGAAATTTGGTAATAATAAAATATAGTAACATTTTTTCAAACAATGAAAGTCTAACATTTTAATTTAAAAGCAGATGGCATAGTATTTGACATTCTTGTGGGTTTAACTTTTAATTATTTTCACTGTACAAGCTTTGATGAATGCAGAAGGTTGGCATAATAATTCTATAAAGCAATGAAAACTGTTCTTCGTTTGTTCTGAATAATCAAATCTAGAGATATGCGATTATCAACAGTCTCCTAGTATTATGCAAAACTATTTAAAATACTGTGAAATATCTCTAGGTTTGCATAGCAAATCAAAGTTTGCATAGCATTTATACTTCTGAAACGAAATGTTAGTCTTACACAGTACTGTGTAATGCCTAGAAATAATGGATTACTAGAAACAGCTGAAACATGGCTTCTATACAGCTACCGTAAGTAAACATATGGAAACAAACCCTTTTATGTAATACAGATGTTTACTTTTTCTAGTGAAAAACTAGAAGATTGTTCACGGAAGTTGATACGAGAAAATGGCTTAAATGCTGGGCTTGCATTTCCCACGGGGTGTTCTCTGAATAATTGTGCAGCCCACTATACCCCCAATGCTGGAGATCCAACTGTTTTGCAGTATGATGATATCTGCAAGATAGATTTTGGAACACATATTAATGGTGAGTTCCTCTTTTTTTAAACACAATTCTATAATTTAGTTGAAAGCAAGTTATTTTACCTCCTTTGTATCTAATTTCAGGTCGTATCATTGACTGTGCTTTTACTGTCACATTCAATCCAAAATATGACAAGCTCTTACAAGCTGTAAAAGATGCAACTAATACTGGAATAAAGGTATACTCAGAAATAGTACAATTCTGTCCTTATCTACATACCCAAAACTGAAGATAAAAATAATTTTCATTTTCTCTTGTATATAAACAGTGTGCTGGAATAGATGTTCGCCTCTGTGATGTTGGTGAGGCTATCCAGGAAGTCATGGAATCTTATGAAGTTGAAATTGATGGCAAAACCTATCAAGGTGATTTATTTTCCAACTAATATGTATGGTTATCCTGATGAAATAAGGGACATGGTGGCTCAGTGGCTAAGACTGAGTGTCAGCGTTCCAAATATCATGCAGAATTAAATCAGAGTTCAAGGCAGAGCTATCCTTAAAGTTCCAATTTAATAAGATAGACATGTTGGCACATCTGTGGAAAATCCCAAATCTGAAAACTTCCTGGGATTTCACCCAGTTGAAAGTTCATGATCTTATCCCCACACCCATAAATCCATCACATGGTCCAATCTTCTTCAGCCACACTGGCATTTCCACCCATCTAATTCCGGTCAGATGCAGAGGTGCGGAGACAAAAGATGAGCTTGGGCTCATCTTTCTAGAAGCCCAAGG